CCCGTGTCCCCTGCATCGGCAGGCGGACTCTCAACCACTGCGCCACCAGGGAAGCCCAAGAGTTTTCTTTTTTATCAAGAATAAGAGCTGCATTTTATCAATTTCTTCCATCTACCGAAATGCTTATATAATTTCTCCCTTTATTCTGTTAATGTGATTAATTAAAGGAACTGATTTTGAATGTTAAACCAAACTTTCATTCCTGGAATGTATGCTCTCAGTATATAATATGATGCATTTTAAATATTTTGCTGGGTTAGTCTTATATTTATAATCATGTAAGAGATTTGCCTATAAATTTTCCTTTCTTATATTATCCCTGGTTCAGGTTTTGGTATCCAAGTTATGTTGGTCTCACAAAACAAGCTAGGAAGTATTCCCTCTTTTTGATGCTCTGAAATAACTGCACTTAATGTCCTTTAATTTTTCTTTTTAATGGCTATAGGATCTGAGGTAATGTCCCCTTTTTCATTCCTGATATCAGTAACATGGACCTTTTTTTTTTGCCCTTGATCAGCCTTGTCAGGAGCTGATCAAGTTTACAGTGTTTTGAAAAAACCAATTATTTTTGGTGTCATTATTCCTTCTATTGTATGCTTTCTATTTCAGTAAATTCTCCTTTATTATCCCCTGTCTTCTACTATCTTTGGATTGCATTTACTTTTCTTTTTCTAACTTCTTGAGATAGATATTTAGATCACTGATTTTCAATTTTCTTCTTTTCTAATGGAAGCTTTTAAGGCTATAAATTTTCCTCTAAACACAGATTAAGGTGTATCCCATACATCTTTATAGATCATATTTTCATTATCATTCTGTTAAAAATATTTTCTAATTTCATTGCAATCTCTTAATATACCGTAAACATTAAATTCCTCTACTCACTATTGATGGGCAGTTTCTCATCTTTTGTTATTATAAACAATGTTACAATGAATAACACAGTGCAAATGTCCATTCATATGTGTATATCTATAGGATAAAATTCCAGAAGTGAAACTGCTAAGTCAAAGGCTAAATGTATTAGTAATTTTGAAAGATGTTGCTACATTGTCTTCATAAAGATTATACCACTTTATACTAGCAATTTATGAGAATGCCTCTCACAGAAAGATTTTTAAGCTGGAGAATAATAAAATCAGAAGGCTCTGACTCAGGCAATAGAAGATGGCTAGCAGCGTTTCACAACTGGGATATGCCAATTTGGGGACACATTCTTGGGACTCCATCTATGAGCTCTCTTTAAGAAAATAGATATGTTATGTTTTCATTTTAATATTAACCTTAATAAAAATATTCTGAATCATAGATAAACATGTGAGTAAGTTCTGCCATGTGACTTTGGTGCCTATGTTTATAGTCATTTTGGCACAATGCAGTACTACTTTAAAAGGCAAGAGAAGTTAACGGGGGGCATACTTAAGAGCAAAATCTATTCTTTCACCTCTTAAAAGTCACCTCTCCCTGTGATCTTTAACATCTATTAAAATAAAATGAGAGAGGGGCTTCCCTGGTGGCGCAGTGGTTGAGAGTCCGCCTGCCGATGCAGGGGACACGGGTTCGTGCCCCGGTCGGGGAAGATCCCATATGCCGCGGAGCAGCTGGGCCCGTGAGCCATAGCTGCTGAGCCTGCGCATCCGGAGCCTGTGCTGCACAACGGGAGAGGCCACAACAGTGAGAGGCCCGCATACCGCAAAAAAAAAAACAAAAAAAAACGAGAGGCGTTCTGCTTCTTGTAATTGTAGAGTAATTCATAGGTAACAGTTATAAATTCTGGACAAAATGCAAAAAGTAATTAGTGGAAGGCACTGGAGAGTGACTAAAGGCAGGCAGATATTGGAGCAGAGTCAACACTTGGCAGACAGGAATGGCACTGGTTTTCCAGTTTTTATAGCTTTTAACCTGAGAATAGTTCCCCTATGTTAAGTCTTACTGGTTGAAGAATTGGAGGACAGAGATTAGGGTGACCATAGCAGTTGTAAAGTGAGGAATCCCAGAAAGAAGTAAGCACTGAGTGGGAGCCACGACTTCTGAGTATAATCCCCACTCAGATCTCTGGGTAACCCCTGAACTATGTATGTATGAGGCAGACTCCAGCAGAATAAAGCCAGCGGACACAGGGAGATGCCCAGAGCTATGCAGGAAATATAAGTATTCAGGAAATTTAATCATTTGTTTATTTTTCTTTTTGCCAAATTAAATGTCCTTAATATTTGGATTTTTAGGAAAGTCAGTTAACATCATCCTGATACTAGTGGAATGTTTTGTTTGTTTGTTTCTTCCGTGGAAGTGTTTGTTTTTTTTTTTTAATTGTAGTATAGTTAATGTAGGGAATGTTTTAAAATTAAAAATTAACAATTTAAACTTAAAAATCAAATTTTATTTTTTAAATGAATGGTATTACAAATTACTGACTTTTTACTTTTAGATAATCTAATACTGTCTTAACACAGTTTTTTAACATAAGTAGTGCTCTTTAAACTATTCACCTCTACCACACTAGGTACAGTCCAATGGTTTGGGAAATTATTTGTATTATTTACTTTTTTTTTTTCCTGCGGTACGCGGGCCTCTCACTGTTGTGGCCTCTCCCGTTGCGGAGCACAGGCTCCGGACGCACAGGCTCAGCAGCCATGGCTCATGGGCCCAGCTGCTCCGCGGCATATGGGATCTTCCCGGACCGGGGCACGAACCTGTGTCCCCTGCAGCGGCAGGCGGACTCTCAACCACTGCACCACCAGGGAAGCCCTGTATTACTTTTTAACCTCTAAAAATATACTATTTCTATAAATATAAAAGCAGGTCTAATCAACCTAAGGATAACTAAGAAAGAACCATAGAGATAAAGAATATCCTTGGGCTTCCCTAGTGGCACAGTGGTTAAGAATCTGCCTGCCAATGCAGGGGACACGGGTTCGAGCCCCAGTCTGGGAAGATCCACATGCTGCGGAGCAGCTAAGCCCGTGAGCCACAACTACTGAGCCTGCGCTCTAGAGCCTGCAAGCCACAACTACTGAGCCTGCGCTCTAGAGCCTGCAAGCCACAACTACTGAGCCTGCGTGCCACAACTACTGAAATGCACGCGCCTAGAGCCCATGCTCCACAACTAGAGAAGCCACAGCAATGAGAAGCCCGTGCACCACAACGAAGAGTAGCCCCCGCTCGCCACAACTAGAGAAAGCCCGCGCACAGCAACGAAGACCCAACCCAGCCAATAATAAATGAAAGAAAGAGAGAAAGGAAGGAAGGAAGAAAGAAAGAAAGAGAGAAAAAGAATTTCCTGATTTCCTGAAATAGTATTTAAAGCATCTTTATAAGGAGAAAAGTGACATTGAATATCAGGCTGAATTAATAGAGGAAGTTTGGGTTTACCAATTAAACTCTTGCAAGAATGTGGTGAGGTTGGTGAAGTACCTATTGCTTTAAATGGGGTGAGTGTGGGAGTGGGGCTCTGTTTTAACCGAAAACCTACCCTTCCATTCGCCTAGAGCAGCTGGGACATTCTCTTGCCTTAGGAGGCAGCCGGGAGGGCAGACCAAATGCTCCCTCAAGAGCAATCTACCTCTATTACTCCGATTCTTTGGTCACCATGGGATTAAAATATTAAAACAACTAATCTTCTAATATGGCAGAGTGTCAAATTCACTGAATACCAGTCCTCTTGGAATCAAATAAAAGGAGTTCTTGT